GCTGTGGATGCATGTTTTGGCTTAATATCGTCTCTATACACGTGTTTTAATCGTTGCTTGAAATCCATTTCAAACAAATCAAAAACAGACTCGCGTTCATATTATTGTTTTGTCTCGTGTTTGTTGTTTAATATATTGAAATGTAATTTTTGTCATCTTTGAATATAATGGCTAATTTGTCATCTTTGATAAAGCCGAAAAAAGCTTAGATAGGATTTAAAACATGTATCAATGTGGTGATTTTCTTCCATCTTTCAATGATAATGTTATTAAACTTATCAGACAATATGAAAGAAATGAACTTAAAATAAATAGACAAAACTTGTCTATATTATTCAATGAAACATGCATCAATATATATATATATATATATATATATATATATATATATATATGTGTGGGGGGTGATAGAAATTAATAGGAGGATTTGAGATAAGAAAACTCAACAGAATGCAGAAAGCAGTGGACGGCCGTTTCATCCTATATTCGTGACTCATCAGCAGTGCGCATCCACTACCGAGAATTGAAAACCGGACAGTTACGATATCAGGCAAATGTCATACCAACTGTACCAACGGGCCTCGTTGACGAAGCGGTAATGACTTAGACTCGATATAGCGCCGATTGATCACATATTTCGTGGTGGAACTCATCCGAGTTTACCATACGCATAGGACTGTGCCCCCGAGGGCCACGATTACTATCCCCAAGCCGTTCCATCCAGAACATTTGAAGCCGTTTCTGTAGAATAACAATAATAAACAGCACTTACCGGCGTAAGAGTCAAAAATAAAGCAGGTTGTAACTTAATACAAACCCTGCAAACTAACTGAGAAATCATAGAAATACTTCCACTCTGGTACCAGCAGCCAATCACAGCCCAAGCAATGGACTATCCCACTTTAGCATAATGAGATGCTCCATTGCACCATAAATAGCTCTCTTTCTCAATGTTGAATTGGTATTCACTCAGCTTGCTCCACAATTGATTGTTTAATCTTGACCACATGATTGTTCGACAGTTTCAAGCAAAGATATACAAGTGATAGAAATTGTTAGGATGATTTGAGATAATAATATTTCAGTAATTCATCGAGTCTAGAAGAAAACTCAACAGAATGCAGAAACCCAGACAGTTACGATATCAGGTAAACGTCATACCAACAGTACCAACAGGCCTCGGTAACGAAGAGGTTTCAATTCTCGGTAGTGGAGTTGCACTGCTGATGAATCCCAAATATAGGACGAAAATATATGTGAAAATACAATATGTGTAAAGACAATAGGAAAGTTTTTTTTACCAATGCGTTTCGTCTTCACGTGGATTTTATCAAGGTAAATATAAGGATTAATAGAATCACAGAAAGAAATGTTACTTATACATAGAATCAGAAGCAGACAGTTGAACCATTTTGGAAACAATGATTGATTGGCTGGTTGATTATATTTTAAAATATCGATCTCTATGGATTAATTAATGTCGAAATTTAAATATTTTGAACACAGTTTTATGTCTTCAATTATAGATAGAATGTATTTTTGGTCATTTTTCATTGAAATGTATTGTTGGTAATTTTACTATATATATATATATTTATTGTTGGTAATTTTACTATAAAAATGTATTTTTATACTTTAATATTGTTTTCGTTGGGATGGTCACTAATTTCCCATAGGTGGAACACTAACAGTTGTTACCACTCTGGGTCAGGGTAGACCAAGGAAAAAACAGCAATTAAGTGGTGGTTCCAAGAAGATGGCCTAGCGATATTTTTCCTTCGTTAACAAAATGGCGAGGAATCGGCACGAAGTTTATTTCTTCCACAAAATGTTTATTCAAAGACTCTTTCAATTAAGAGGGTGGAACATTATTTGTCAAGATGTGCCTGAAAAAATGACAAAGGAATTTTAAAGAGAAAAACAAAATTATATCTTGCCTTGTCAACAGGACCTTGGTTTCACCTACAGATTGAATGGTTGTCGATTCGGGTTTGAAAGGAAGATGTTCACGTATAGACTAAAGGATAGGCAGAAATAATATTTACATTTACAATAATGCATAAATACAGCCAACAGTTATCCTCGAATATGAACACAACCAATTTATATCTACAGACTCAAGTATAAAGCTTAAGAATGTCTCAAGTATAAGGCGAACCAAATTTACTAAATGACTTCAAGTATAAACCTAAACTTATACCTATTGACTTATATAAACACGCGAAATTTTTACCTATAGAGTGAAGTATAAAGCCGATTAAAATTTACCTATAGTCTCAAGTATAAAGATTTGCCTATAGAATCGAATATAAACACAATGTTTAACTATTGACACAACTCTAAAATCGAGCAATGTTTATCTATAGACTCAAGCATAAACAAGACCGATGTATAATTGTAGACTCAAGTATAAACTGGAAAGTATTTAACTATTGACTGAAGTATAAATCCGACCAAAATTTGCCCATAGTATCAAGTATAGACACAAACATGATCGAAA